AAATGCCGCGTCTTGCGGTCGGCGAATGCAAGCCCTGCACGACGAGCCCAAGTCGGGCACAGTCCTGTCCACAGCTGTTCCACAGACAGTCAGAGCCACACACACGGAGCACCTGTCTGCACGTGTGTGTGCAGTGGTGCGCATGTCTCCGTGTGTGTGTGTGTGTGTGCCAGTCTCATGCAGGAATAGATCGGTGCTGTAGAGCGTGTGAACCAGCTAACCTCCACTCCTCTCCTCTGCCTGTTAAATCCCGGCCTAAATAGAAGCGTCCCTGCCTCCGTTTGTGACGTGGACTTCCTGTTAGCTCATTAGCTTCATTAGAGAGTGAGAGTCGGGGTCTTGGACCATCTGTGTGTCTGACTGCTGTGTTTGAAACGTTCATTAACGCTGCTGCGCTGATGGATTTGAACGGTGAAGGACGTAGAGTACGGCAGGACTAGTGAAGGTTAATCAAACCTTGGCCCAGTAACCACGACCCTCCTCCTGGTCCGCACCGTCAGTGTGAGCGCTCATCCTGGGCCCGGTCACAACGCCTAGTTAGTGGAACCATTATTCTAACGGTTATTCTAATGGTTCCACGGATGTTCTGCATCATTTCATGCAGTAGAAGGAGGGCCTTGACTGGCCATGATGTCAGAGCCAGGAAGGCACCGTACCGTCAACCAGACCCATGGAATCATTTAAATGGGAACAGAATTGGATTTTAAATACAGTAATGAGTGTGTGTGAGTGAGTGTGTGAGTGTGTGTGTGTGTGTGGCTAAATCCCACTGATCCAGAGCTTTATCGCAGGCTGAAAATTACCCTCAGCATTAGCTGTGGATATGATTAGCATTCTCATTTTCTCTAATAAACACAATTAGATTTTATCAGAAAATCACATTCAGTTCGCTGCATTTTCTTCGTCGAGCGCCGCGGCGACCGTGAGGCTTTCATCAAAACAGACATTTCTCCAAGTTCAGAGATAAAAATTGGTTTTCACATGATTGATTTCCTAGCCACCATTCCTTAACTAGAACATCAAGCCCAGTGTTTTTCAAACCTGGGGTCACGACTCCACATGGGGTCGCCTGGGATTCAAACGGGGTCACCTGAAATGTCTAGTATCTGAGTGAACTAATTATTATTTTTTCTAAAATAATGATTAAAAACATCAGCTCATCCTAAACCAGTGTATTACTACACTGTTGTTGTTACTTTTTCGTGGGACTCTCTGTGTTGTTTTTAAAGTTGACACTTGTTCCTGCTTGTTGTACATTTTTGTGCAACTTGACAATCGGTGATGAATCCCACGGCAGTGACTCGTAGCACGGCTGCACTGTAATCAGGGAGTGTTTTTTCCAGCAGCCTTGTCGAGGAGACGGCCGCTCTCACGACACGTAACGTTACCACTCTTATCTCTCTTTAACATTTAAATTTTTTCTTAAACAGACCACAAAAAACTACTAGTTAATACCAACAGTGGTCATTCAGTAGTTCATTTCCAATAGGTGAGACTGGATAAAGTAAATACTTGACAAATACTCAAACATGTTGAAGGCTAGACCATAAACCGTGACATTGACTCAAAACACTGCTGAAACGCTTTAGTACGTTAGAGTCTAAACTCATAAAACAGTCCAACCAGCATCTCTATAGGGGGTGAGGGTATGGGGGTGAGGGTGGGGGCTACAAATCTACACAGTAGGCATCAAAGTACCGTTGTATTACATTTGTGATTTGGTTGTAGTGTACCATTTGGTGTACACTGAAATCCAAAAGGCTGAGGACCAGCGTGTGGACAGATTTCT